CTCCTGCAGGCCCCGTCCCTGCCGGGCCGCCCGCCGCCTCCCTCCCGCCGCTCCCGGCGCGGTGCAGCCTGCGGTGGAGACGGACTGGCGTCGCCTGCCTCTGCACATGCCTCGCAGATCTCCAAGCACCGTAGAGACTGTGGGTTAGAGTAGCACGGGAACCCTCCGACAACGGAAGGAATCGCTGGATGCGGGAGTCCCGGAGCGCTGCGGTGGCTGCAGCGGCCACGAGCCGCTGAGCGAGCGCCGCAAATGTAGCCGAGGCGGCCGGGCGTGCTGTTACTGTTACCCCTTCACCGCGGAGGTCGAGGACCAGCTCATGAATACATTTAATGTTGACTACATGTTGAAATGATACATTCTAGCTATATTGGGTTACGTAACTCTAGTTAATAGTGAAGGAACTACTTCAAGCTGATTAAATGATAAACTACAATTAGAAAAGAGTTTAAGATCTATTCTGAGACCCAATCCTGGGCTCGAGATGCCCATGGTTCCACTGGTGTAAAGTCAGTGGCAAAGAACAGTACTTAGAAAACAAATTCTCACTGCTGGCAGTTACTGGTTGATACAATTATAGCAGAAAAGAACCCTAACACTGGAATAACATTACAAACAAAAAAAAACTTTTAAAAATAACACGATTGTAGTTAATTGACTCTAAAACATACTCCAGAAAAATACTTTCACAGTTTCGACATTTTTCAAATGAGAATGCATCTCAAAGCCAATGGCATCTTACCAATAATTGGCAAGATCTCCCTCACCTCCCCGTAGTGTGAGTCTTAGTGGTATGTAAAATAATGTTGCATCTTTTAACTAACGCCCTTTTAAAATCAGTGAGCTACATCAATTGCTCAATTTAAGTATTTTGTTATATTCCGCATTTTTCCCAAAATATTTTCTGGAACCTTACAACAAGCAATTTTATACAGTACAGTCAATAACACAGAAAATTAAGGTTAAAGAAAGTTAAACATGAAGAGTTAACAGTATTGCTGTAATTGAGTATAATCGGTAAATAAAAGATCAGCTACATTATATTTGACGCTAGTTAAATTAAAATGGGTTTTTTCCCTGTTGAAAAAAATACTCATTAACCACCACATCTTCTCCTTCAGTTTACAAAATTAAATCACAGAGTGAGGGAAAAGTAATTAGGTGGCCGGGGATGTAGCTCAGTGGCACAGCGCCTGGCTGGCAAGTGCGAGGTCCTGAGTTCGATTCCCGATACCAAACAAACAAACAAACAAACAAACAAAAACAACAAAAAACTAGGTGTAGTTAGTGGTAGTAAAAACAATTGAAATGAAGGAGTCACTCCCTCCATTTAATTCTAAAGAGTACCCTGCAGTTATTCCTGCTTCTATTGTACCAAGGGTGGTAGAAAATAAAACCACAAAAGTTCAGGCGATGACTGATGCTCTAGCACCAGCTTTGGGATCACCTAGCCTGACCTTTGGCCACCTTTGCGGTACTCCCACCTTGGTACAGGTTCGCAAAGTTTTACTACCTGTCGTAAATATTAAGATCGACAGGAAATCTGGGACAAACCTGCTGTTGAGAGCCCCTGAAATGACTCCGCACCCTGTCAAGCAAACCTAGAGATTCAGTGGGAGACACCTAAAGCTGAGGTGTGTATTAAATCCTCACAGCCCGATTTATCTGTTTTTATTGCTGTTGTCGTTTCTCTGTGGCTGAGGCTATTTGTGTGTGCTTTGATCTGAGTGCAGTGCCTTTCTGTCACCCTGGCATCTTTTTCTTTCTGTGCCTTATCTTTCGTTGGTATGGACTTGCCCTGAGCACTGTCTCTGGTGATCTTCAATACATGTAGCTGTTACATGAGGCTGAGGCAGAGGGATTGCTACAAGTTCAAGGCCAGCCTGGGCTACATATTGAGTTCAAGGCTAGCCCAAGCTATATAGCAAGACCCTGTCTCAAATAAAACTAAAAAAAACTATATAAAGGACATTTTTAAAAAATGCACCTGCTTGCTACTTACTCCTGGGTATATAGAAGACCCTAGACTATTATTGGCCCATTTCCTTAGCAACAGTAGAGTGTCCGCTTAGCATGTGAAAGGCCCTGGGTTAAAGCCCAAGCAACTCCTTCCTCCAAACACAGAGAACAAACAGAAGCAACCAAAAGTAGTGTTTGCGTATCAGCTTACCCAATCACAACCTAAAGATCTGCAACAAGCCCCATGCTGCATTTGAGGAGTCAACCTCATGGCTTTGATTTCAGTATTCAACGTGTTTTCCGCCTTTGTCATTATTATTTGACAATCTTTCATGTAAACATTTTTGAAGACCACAATTCAGTTCTCTATAGTTTATGTGTCATTTTAAAACGATCAGTATATTGTAAATTTTCAGCCCTACAAGAACTTTAGAAAATAAGGTGGAAAACTGGTCTCCCCCACCCCCCGAATAAATCTGCAGTTTGAGAAACAAAGTTACAATTGATTGATCTGAAATTTGGGGTGCTAATGTCAAAAGAAACAATGATTCTTGTCTTTTATTCTTTTCTAAATATTTTTGGAATTGGTAGAAAAATACCCTGCTTACTTACAGGTTCAGGTGATTAACTTACATTGGTTTGTCACCAATGAAATGGTAACTTTGTAACTGCCTTCAGATCTCAAGATACTCTGTTGCAGTGAATAACCTTCAAGAGAAACAAAGGCTCCAGGCAAATTGTCAATCAAGAGCCTGGGCTTGTTGATAAACTGCTGGTCTAGGGTGTTTATAAATGCTGGTGCGGTCCAGAAGAAAGCCTCCAGTTCCCTAGAGTGTGTGTCCTCTCAATGAGTTTGCTCTTTCCAAAAGCCTGAGTGAAATGTGTTTTGGCATGTGTTTCCTTTCTTTTAAAATTTCATATTTGCTTGTATTGTAATCCACAGTGTGCTAGGCTGAAGCACCAATCGTCATTCTTTTCTTTTTCTGAGACAAGGTCTTGACTACATAATGCAGATTGGCCTTGAGCTCACTTATGTAGCTCAGGCTGGCCTCAAACTCATGTTGATCCTCCTGTCTCAGCCTCCCAAGTGCTGGGATTACAGGCATGCGCCACCACGCATGGCACTTCATGTTGATCCTCCTGTCTCAGCCTCCCAAGTGCTGGGATTACAGGCATGCGCCACCACGCATGGCACTAATGTTCATTTTTGAAAGAAGATAGATGTAGTTAAAAGATTTCCAAATATGCTCCATGCAAATAATAACTGTTTTCTTTTCAAATGTTTTCTAAAGTTTCTTTCTTTTTAGATAGTTATGCCTCAATCCTGTTTATTTAGTAAAGTCCACAATGTTAAAACCACTGCCTAGACTATGTGAACACACTTGTACATGTGCATGCATGGGTGTGTAAACAAAGTGGGTAAGTTTATTGTTTGTGTGGAAGGTTTCATATAGCAGAAGTCAGTCATATGCCAAGAAAAATTTTTAACAGTCATGAAATACATAATTGGAAGCCAAAAAGATTAAAGTTAACCACTTAGCTGGTACACCTGCTAAGTAAGGCAGATGGGTTTTGAATGCAGGTGTGTCAGACTCCAAAGCCAATGCTATTTTTATAAATAAGTACAATGTGAATTAATTTAAATAACGTATAGCAGATGTTCAATCCTCGAAGTTCCATTTGCAAAGTAAATTTCTGTGGACCATTACTATTTTAGTAATCAATGTTATGTATAAGTCAATTTCACCATCTGAAGTTTAGGAAACTAAATTTTAAGAGATTAAGATACACTGATAAAGTAAACATCTTGCTCTTTTCTTTTATCATACCATGTGTTTCAATTAAGAGGAATTCCATGAACTATAGTGTCATTTATTTATTTATTTATTTATTTATTTTGTCTTTGTGACACAGGCTTTTGCTATGCAGTTCAGGCTGGCCTTGAGCTCACTGTGTAGCCCAGGCTAGTCTCGAACTTGCAACAATCCTCCTGCCTCAGTCTCCCATGCTGGCTATAGTGTCATTTAAAATTAACTTGTTTCACAGAGTACATAAACAAGTAGAATTTCAGAGAATGACCTTTTTCTTAGGTATTTTCTTCTGATAAAATAACATAGGAAAATGCCAATAAAATCTGTTTCTTATCATATTATTTCAAAGAATCACCAGCAGTATGGTTAAATGTGAATTTAAGAATTACTAAGGAACCCAGGCTGTGGAGACAGACTGGATCTCCTAAATTTAGTATCTACAAAATGCCTTCTATCTTAGAATGCTGTTTCAGTATACCGTGTGGACTGTTCATTAAGCACATACATCCCAAAAGTCACACTGACAGGGTCTGAAC